GTACGTCCCCAGTTCTGTGCAGGCGAAGGAAACACAAAGGCAAAAATACAACACTAGGACTTGGGGACTTATTTTGTTTAAACATCAAAATGGCAGGGTTGGCACTGTTATTATATTTTCAAATTATTCAGAATTATAAAATCTAAACCATCATGGCCTCAGGTGTGTAGCGCCTTTCAGAGGCACACATTCATAGCAACTTTACAGCCTTCCTGAAAGTCACGAGGTGAATGTGTGTGCTCACTGACAAGCATTAAGCAGAGAGCATCATGCTGTTATAAGTTAATGGTCAAGTTCATCGTAGACTGTTAAAAATAAGCTGGGCAGTGGTGGCGCACACCTTTAATCCCAGCACGTGGGAGGCAGAGACAGGCAGATCTCTGTGAGTTTGAGGCCAGCCTGGTCTACAGAGTGAGTTCCAGGACAGCCAAGGCTACAGAGAGAAACCCTGTCTCAATGCTCTCCCCCCAAAGATCTTATAAAGTGAAATTTTAATTAAATTTGAAAAACTACCTCTGAACTATTATAGTAATATCATTTGATATTTTTAATGAGTGCAATTTTTAAAAACAATATACATTGATTGTATCATTATTGAATTGCCAGTGTATTTTTTTTGTCAATTTTTTTCAGTTGTTGGAATTTCTCTTCCAGCTCTGTGACAGTGAGTGAATAGTGAGGGGTATTATAGACTAAAGATATCTGACTCATCTGCTTCACACTGCATTCCTGGTTTGAGTATTTGTGTGTGTGTGTGTGTGTGTGTGTGTGTGTGTGTGTGTGTGTGTGTGTGTCCATGTCTCTCTCTGTGTTAGTATCTTTGTGTCTATGTATATGTGTGTCTGTGTGTATGTCTTTGTGTGTGTGTAGCTGTGTGAATGTTTCTATCTCTGTCTGTCTGTGTGGGTCTGTGTGACTCTGTGTGCTTGTGTCTCTGTGTTTGTGCTTGTGTGTACATCCATTTGACTCTGTCTTTGTGTCTTTGCATGTACTATGTGTGCTGTGTTTTGATGTCAAAGGAATCATCATCATTTGCAGCAACTTCACATTTTTATTTCTGAGTGTGGAGACAGAGGGCACCCGAGGTATTGTGCCTTCTGAGGTCACAGCGAATTAAGGACAGGGACAGAATCTTTCCATTACAGTACATGTGCTAAGAGTCAATAGTGAGTCACTAGAAAAGACCAGAATAATCACCTGTCTCTTCCATTAGTGGAAAACAGCACTTTTATTCTCCTTATAAGAACATACTACTGCTTCTCAAAATGTTCAAACTTCCCAAAGTTTCCAATGAAGACTCCAACAAGGGGACTGCTGTGACTCTGTTTAAGATCCTCTTCCACTTTGAAAATGCTGTAATTTTATGAAGAGAGGAAGAAAAGGGGGGGGATATATAGGTGACTCAACTGTGGTTTGTGGAAAAACACATTTTTTAATCTAGAAAATGCAACAGGAGTTCTAGGCCCACGTGGGCCCCATCCCTGGGCACGGTGACAAGTTGCCAGATATCCCCCATGATGACATACTCTCATTTCACAGCTGCTCTGTGGGAGTGCAGTGCAGTCCTGTGTGAGGGACTTAGAAAAGCTTCTCAGGAGCAAGGGCAGCTGTTGGTGATTCCTACTGCGGGTGGGCTGGGCATTGGCCAGATGTGGACACCTAAGAACAACCTGGGCAGCCTGCAGACCTATGCAGGGTAACAGTGGCATTCGTTTATTCTGCATCTAATGGATTTTTGAGAATATAACCATGTAATGATGAGATTTTCCCAGCAACACTAAAATCAAAACAAAACCTTGGGTCATATGAAAGGACATCCCAACTTGCTGAGTCATACACTTATCCACATGATGGCTTCTGGAGCCAGCATGCCTTGCCCAGCTTCCTGGCCTCCATCATGATTTTCTGTCCCCATAATGGTTAGAGTACGCATCCATTGGCCTTCTCTATGGGCTACGGACACACTGTATGTCTCATGTCTGCCTTCGTTCATACCGTTCCTTCAGCCAGAAATGCTGTTCTAGTCTGTTTCTCACTAGACACACATATGCAGCTCTCAGATCTCATCCAGCTGTCACAGCTCAGAAGCCAAGTTCAGGCAACTATGACGAACTTTCATGGCACCCTGAACCTTACCTTGAGGAGTCTTAGTTACAAATGTGCACTTGCATGTGAATTATTTGGTTTCTGATACTAAACTCCATGGGGACAGGGAGGTCATCCTCCCACTGTGTCCCCAGCACCAAGGACAGGATCCATCACAGTCAAGTGCTGGAGAATGGAATGTAGAAGGAACAGATATATCAGCGTGTCTATGGCCTATGCTGAGACAGTATCTGGTTTCCACTGGTAACTAGTCATGCTGTACACACAACCAGGCAGTTAGGGGTTACGTCAGTAGAACAAGTTTTGGGCAATGGGCTGGAGATGTGGTTCAATGGTAGAACACTACCTATCATGCAAAAGATCCTAGATGTCATCTCTAGCAGCACAACAAAACAATAATAAGCCATTTCATACTTTTACCATGAAATACGATCCGACCATTGTTTTCTAGAGAAAGTCAATTCACTTGAACTCACTCATTGTGTGTTGTAACGATCATCCTGCAGTTGTAACGAGCACATTTTGCATTTTTTTCTGAGTAACCATTTTAGGTGCTACACATTTTTGCTTTTTTGTTTTGTTTTGGTTTTTTTGGAGGGGTTGCTCGTTGACCCCCTCAGCAGGTAAGAGGAAGAGCATTGGGATGGGGATGGCTCTTTTGCTGATCTCTGGTTCACTGTGTACAGTGGAAATTCAAGCCATGTTTGTCTTGGTGTGATGGGTATCCCCCTGCCTCTGAATTCATCATGCATCTTCCTGGGAAGGGTAAGGAACACTGTGTCACATTCTGCAGTGTGTCCCGGCCTCTGATGCCTGATTTCAACGTCACACTCTTGCTGTGAATAGATCGCATTCTTCCAATCTTATACACAATGAAAGTCAAAGGTTTGCTACTTTTCCAAGTTCATATAAGAAGTATTTTGAAAAACAGGACGCGATTCAAACTCAGCTCATCTGGTTTCAGAATTTTTATATTGCTAGATAGAACCATTTTGAAGCCCATATGTCACAGGCTTTTATAAATACATTTTTGCTTTATAATACATGATATAAATACTTCTATTGGACAGACTTCTTGTTATTCTAAGTATGCTACATCAAGTCGTGGGATGCCCACAATTATGTCCCAGGGTTAGTGAGACAAGGATTCATTTTGTTTGTGCAGGTAAGTGAGCAGGCCGGTGGTGCTTAGTGACACATTTGGCCAGCTGAACAGTTTGAGACAAATTTCAGATCTCTGCTCTCTGTTTGACCACCAGTAGTAGAGAGATGGATGGTTCTCCAAAGATGCCCCAGGCCTAGTTTTCAAAACCTCTGAGTACATTACCATACGTGGCCAAGAGGCTTTAACAATGCTATTAAGTTAAGAACTTGGAGATGGGGAGATTACTCAATGTTATCTGGGTCAGCCCAGGATAATCACAGGGGATCTTATGGGAGGAAGACAGGCCAGAGTCTGAGAATGAGCTATCATAGTGGAAGTATGCAGTGTGTGTGTGTGTGTGTGTGTGTGTGTGTGTGTGTGTGTGTGTGTAAGAGAGAGTGTGTGAGTGTATGTGAGAGTGTGTGTGTCTATATGTGAAAGAGAGTATGTGAGTGTATGCATGTATGTGAGAGAGTGTGTGTGTGTGTGTGTCTGTGTGTGTGTGTGTGTGAGAGAGAGAGAGAGAGAGAGAGAGAGAGAGG